TCCTCTACTGGCAGATTCTAATAGGGAGCAAAGGACAAGAGAAAAATGGTTTGCAAAGTCCCATCCCCAGTATTACCAAGCAGAGCACAGAAGAGCATGTTTGCTTCTGAGACACAACAGCCTTTGAGAAAGATCTGGGGGATGACTGATAGTATGTCCTTGTGGCAGCACTGAAGGATACAGGGTCCTTCGTCTAGGGGACCTCACCTCCCCTTTAATCAGACGCTCCAGGTCTATGGATTGGCTTATATCTGTAAACTGTGTGAAAGGTAGTAACTCTCCATTGTGATGACTCAAGTCAGGTTTCTGGCTCCAGACATGGAGTTTTTCCTTCTATGTAGTTCATGTAGCATTTAGTAGGCTGCCCATCTATTTTATTCCTAGAGACACTATAATGCATTAGCCACTGCCAAAAATCCTTGTAAGCCAAAACATTCTCTGCTTTATCCTCCACTGCCCATTACGGAGCATATGTCCACCTCAACTCCTGTGGGGTGCCACTGGACCTCAAGTCAGGAGCTCCCACCATCATAAACAGCCTACAGAGAACAGAGATTTTCAAGGATACAAGTCTCCTCCCAGCAATTTATTTCTCAGTGCCTTCATGAAAAGTGTATCTTCTGCACAGTCTTAAAGGACGCGGGGGGGCGGGGGTGTGCAGCTTGCACATAATAAATCCAGTCCAATATTCCTATCTTTCTAAGCCTTCAGATTCCTTCCTCATTATGCCAGGAAAGTTCTAGCACCTCAACCTTATTACATATAGGCCACCACTGAGTCCAAGTTTCAGTCAACCAAATCTGAGTTAATACCTTAGATTCAAAATTTCTTGAGAACACACCCAGATCAATAAATTTTATCTGGGGTACCTGGGTGGCTCAGTTGGTTAAGCATCAGACTCTTGATCTCAGCTCTGGTCTTGATCTCAAGGTCATGAGTTCAAGCCCTGCCTTGGGCTCCACAATGAAGGTGGAGCCTACTAAAAAATAAAGAAAGAAAAGAAAGAAAAGAAATAAATACATTTTATCTGATTTAGTGTTACATTCTATCCTTCCTGGCCTAACCTATTTACAACCCATTCTCACAGATACTGCTCCTTCCCAATGATACAAATTAGTAAAATTTTGCAAATCTTTTAGAGGCTAGGCTCTTTCCAACCAGGTTGGATTTTGTCCCTGTCCTTTGGAGCATGAAGAGATCTGGGCCTCATAACAAAAGGTTATAGAGATAGGTCTTGAGTATAGACATCCTCTGCAAAGCAATTACTCTAGGAAAGGTTATTACAGGACCCTCAAGCCAAGGAGGGACAGTTTTTTGGACATGGAAAGCTAAGCAGGCTGCTTCCATGAACAAAGGAGAGTCAGAATGACCGGGGTTTCAAGACTCTCAGTTTTATCCAAGTCAACTTAGATGTTCGCATTCCAAGTCTCAGGGCTCTGGTTCTTTCCACTCGGTGCCCTAAATGAGACATTGACAAGGTTGTGTAATTCTATTACCAGCGCAATTAAAACTGTGTTCAATGTTTAGTTCTCTGGCTACATGAAAGAAAGTGCTTTAGAACCCAGACCCTCTCTAATTCTCTAAGAGTTGACCTGGGTGTTTTAAGATCGTAGCTTATCATTTTCTTTTTGTAAGGGCTCCAGTGATCTCAGAAGCAACTATCCCACCCATCCCTCAGTCCTTACAGTCAAAAAGTTCTTTAGCCACTAGGTCCCCCAAACACTTCAGAAATCATTTTATCACAATCAATCAAAGGTAGTAATCTGATGAATCGTGATGCCAATACACGCCATGGATTACTAGAACCTTATATCCTGTTGGCAAGGAGCTGAAGATGTGACCAAGGTAATCCCTGAAGCCCATCTTTGAGAGTTTCTCCCCCGAGATCCCAATTATAGTAACAATTTCTTTATTAATACCTTTTATAAGTCCAATCAGGAGACAAAAAACACACCAGTTACTTTAACAGAGGGCATTTAATATGAGTAATTGTTAACCATATGCTAAAGAACTGAAAAAGCTAAAAGGGGACGGTGAGTATCGAAGTAGTACCAGTAGGAAGCAGCTATCACTCCAAAACAGGAATAAAGAGAATTACTACAGCTGAGAAATTTGGAGGAAGGACTGCCATGGAGCTGGGACTCAGATCTGAGGAAAGGGTATTGATATCTTTGAAGGGGTGTGATAGGCTGGTTCTAAGAGAGTGGAAAACTACAAACTGGAGAAACTGGGGCCAACTATTCATGCCAGAGTGAGGCACTATCACTGTGGTGAAACAGACAAGAAAAAGAAGCACACAGGAAGCAGCAAGCCCTTTTGTCCTCTACCCTTCCACTCTCCCTCCCCTGCTGGCAAAGCCTGCTAGGCAGCCAGCTAGCAAAGAAGAAATGTGGTTTAGAGGTTCTGCCCCAGATTCACAAAACAGAATCTAAAGGGGTGCTATGAAGCTGAGGGATAATAGCTTAATAACCTGTAGTCAAGAGGAAGCAGGGAGCAGCTGCAGAGTCAGGGTACCTGATTATCTGAAACTGTTAAAGGATGTGTGGCATTTTGGTCTCCTTTCTGCACAGTGCCTGGCAAATAGCAACAGCTTAATAAATGTGAGCTATTAGAGCTCACGAAACCACCAAGGAGTTAAATAGAAATACCATACTTCAGTGGCATGATTCTTTGCTATTGCTATTGGGATTCCAATATTCAGATGTTCTTGTTCTTTCTCCACCCCCACACAGTGCAAGCAGACAAGGAGAACAGTAGAAAAAAGCAGTGGGGGAAAAAATTAGAGCAGTGCTGAGGTAATGGCGAAGACACGAAACCAATAGGGATTATATTTTGGGAGGTTAAAAAAAAAATGACAGGTGAAAAGCATAGTGGATTCATGGGTTTACCTCCTGTCTGGGTACTATTAGAAAGTTGCTTTTATGAGATCTAGATGGTTTTCTTTGTTTCTACTCAATGTATCTGTTGCCTTGGCTTAGGTTAGCAAATAAACACTAGTAAAAAGTTTATCTATATGGACAAAGTTAACCCAGCTAAAGGGAATGGTTAGATTAGGTTCAAGATAACTGGTTAGGCCCAAATCAGAATGAAAGTGATTGGCACTTACATGGTCTTGGGTCCTCAGCAATGCTTAGCCCAGACTTCCAAAAATTCTACAGGTATCTGGCCTTCCACCCCTCCAAAGTCATACCCAAATGGAGGGGTTATGTGATCATTAAGTTTTCAAAACAAGTCTTAAACTTGGCAGAGCCAGAATTTGAATCTAGGTCTGTCTGACTCCAAAGTGTCTCTTAACCACTACAAACATGAGGTTCCTGACTACCCTTACCCACAGATGCCACCATCATTGTCCATCTGGTCCTCACTCATTTTCCTCTTCCCAATATTATAGATAGATATCTAAGGTATCTAATTAGCTGGCCTACAGAAAATTAAAATTTAAGGATATAATGCAATGATCAACGAGTTACCTATTTTCCTGAATGGAGGAAAATTACATTTCTTTAAGAGAATAACCTTAACATTATAGTCATTAAGAAATCTTGTGTTCGGGCACCTGGGTGGCTCAGTTGGTTAAGCGTCTGTCTTCGGCTCAGGTCATGATCCTGGAGTCCAGGGATCGAGTCCCACATCGGGCTCCCTGCTCAGCGGGAGTCTGCTTCTCCCTCTGACCCTCCCCCCCTCTCATGCTCTCTCTCTCTCAAATAAATAAATATCTTTTTAAAAAAATTTTTTAAAATCTTGTGTTAAGACTGCTTTACTCACTTAGGCAACCAAGTTGCAAATTCCAATTACAAACTTTCTTGAAATGAACAATAAACAACAATAAAATCTGAGGTGTCAATAACAAATTGCATAAGACTGGTCTTAATCTTCTCCCACCCACAAACAAGGAATTTTGTGCTCTACAGCAGGCAGGGTGAGGGGCAGTATGGACATATTAAGACTGGGCTTAGTTTTTAAAGATGGCATATAGTTTGAGAAATTAACAAGGGCTTGTTTCCTTTCTGTAAAGTAATCCTATATATGTGATCCAAGCTTATTTTAAGATTTGTTTTACACAGGCTGGTCTATTCACTAACACGCTTCCTCTGTCCCTCTGCTCATGTTGTATCCCTGAAATGCCTTCTATTCTCTATCATACACTTAACTTCATTTGTTTCTCAAAATACCGATTCTTCAAAATCCAGCTCATGTCTCTCTCCGCAATGGATGAATTAGTAAGATGGTTTCAACTAGCCGTATTTATAAGGCTTCTCTAAACATGATACAATGGCTTCTCCTCAAGAGAGAAATTTTAGAATCTCTGAGCTAGAAAAACTGCTCAGGGATTATCTAAGTCTATTCTCCTTGTCTCCAGTGGGTAAACTGCCCCTACTCGTTAATGTAACTTATCTCAAAGGTCTTTTCCAGCTCTAAACTTATGGCTTCATAGTTCTATCGACTAAATATTACTTCAAAAGGCGTGGAATATATCTAGAAACCATTAAATTCCCAAACGGTAACGGAGTTCAGTTAGAAGTTACGCTGACAGATCTGAGGTCAAGTGCTCGGTTCTGGTCAGAACAACAATCAACTGTGTTTACTGTCCACGTCTGTGCACTGTACCGCCGGTGACTGATTCACTCTGGGCACACAGTAGGCCCCAATCCGGGACAGAAGCCTGCTGGTCAAGCACTCTATCCCAACACCGAGACGAGGCCCTCACTGACCGCTTTATCTCTTAGAAACAAAGCTGGGTAAGATACCTCAATCCGGCACCACCCCCCGATACCCGCTGCGACGGGGACGGCACAGTGATGCAGAGCAGTGATGCAGGTGCACAACGCACCTTGTTTTGCTCCGGGAGCCAGTCGGAGTTCGCGGCACCAGCTCCCCCACAGCCCCAGGAGCGCCAGCTTAGCATCTCCCCCGGCTCCGATGCCCCCCCTCCTCCGCTGCTCTCCGCGACCCCACTGCCCCAGCGGTCCGCCCCTTGTTTCTAACCATGGGGCACTTACCATCCCAATACCAGGCCGGTGGTCACGATGAAGCAGGTAAAGACCACCGCGATGTAGAAAAGCGGCGAATACTCATACAGCGTTACCAGAAATACCGCAGCCATCAGGATGTCCTAAACTGAGCCGAGCTTCAGCCGCCCAGCCCAGCCCACCCGGCCGGTGTCAAAGCCACGACGGTGCCTCAGAGCTGACAAACTTCGTAGCTACGCACTCGCCCGGGGTTCTAAGGCTAGACGTCAGGGCAACCTCGCCGGCCGCGGGAGCCAGAGTGCCAATCACGACGACGCCTGCAGGGCTCGCCCCGCCCCTACTGCTCCAGTCCCCAGCTATTGGCTTCGCAGAGGGGCGGTGCCCAGACTGGACTCACGGGATTGGTACCCGGAGAGCGTCTGTGTGTCCTAGCGGTCAAGGCTTTTCTGCGGCAAATTCTAAATACGCATAGCGGCCAAATCTGTCCAAGGATCAGGTAAGGTTTTCTGATGACACAGAGAGGAGGCACAGTCCGAAATCCACGTCACAGAGTCTAAATCCCACATCTTGGATCCGCGGCAAATTTGAGAGGAGGAGAAGAGCCGTCATCTTGGGTTCTACAAAGTGAAGTAACCTCACACCTGCTGTTGTTTTATCTAGAAAAGTTACAGTTAGACACTACGAAAGACCAAAAGGAGTCTGACAAGCAGTTTATACGAAACTTGTCGGCCTTTTCAAGTTGGATATAATGATAAAGGAAAATTAGCGTTGCGTATCAAGATTCTCATAGAAGTAAATCAACTGTCCTCCCACATTCCTTTCTTTTTCTCCTCCCCCTACCTCCTTCAAATTAGAATTAGATATTTGAACTTTTTTGTATTAATTTTTACTTTAATAATAATTTTTAATATATATGTGTGTATATATATATATGTATATGTATATGTATATATATATATATATATGCCTTTAAGAAAGGAGCGAAATGCTCATCCCCCTCTCCTCATCCCCATTCAGCCAGCCCCATCAAGGTAGCCTCCCTGGAAGTCCCTCACACCTCCACTGACAGCTCATCGGTTTGGGTTTAGCCCTTGGCCACACGCAGTTACCACAGAGACAGGTAATTTAGTCTTTTATTCTGAGCAGCAAATCACTAGTAAAATTAATGTTGGAGAAAGATGAGCTAAATTTGTTCTATGGCTTCACATATCTCTTGGCCAATGACCATGTGTTTTGTACTCTCTGGAGTAGTGCTGTGTAAGCAGCTTGGTTCAACAACATAATTTTTGATAACTACCTATATGATTTGTGAAAGTATATAGTTTATTGTTGGACAGTTTTTAAAATTATAAACAACACCGCAATGAACATTCTTAAAGCTAAATCATTTCCTTAGGTGAATTCCTAGAGGCGGGACTTTTAGTTCAAAAAGTATGCACATTGTAAGCCTTTAGGGAAACAATGCTTCTCCAGAAATATTATACCGATTTATGCTCCCACCCTTTCATCCGCAGTTTTGTGATCATTTGATATTGTCACTTAAAAAGCTTGGCCAATGGGAAAGGCAGTTTTATTGCAATAAGCAATAAAGAGTTTTCATAATGAAAACAGGGAATTCCAAGTTAAAGTGGCATATTATACATATGCCTATAATTTTGCTCTCTCCCCGAACGCCACTAAAACTACAGTAAAGGGATGTAAAAAATAAATCAAAAACAAGAAGAGGAAATAACATAACAGAAGCACATATTGGAAGATGGAAAGCAGCTGAACAAGGATAATTCACTAACCAGCCCATGAAAGTCAAATCCCAAACCAGCAGTGGAGCAAACTGACTCAACTTGATTTACACTGAAGCATTCTCAAAAAGAACATGAACTATCACAAATTTAACTCAAGCCTTTATTTCCCATTTGGATATCTGATACAACAATTCCAACATGTCACTTTACTTCCAACATTGATTCTTTCTAACACATAATACACGATACACAGTGCAGGCAAAAATTATTTTTTTCACATGTATCCTTTAGTTTTAAACATGTTCTATTTCATTCCACCACCCCAAATCCTTGATTGCCATGCTATGTATCCTTGAGGATGAAGTCTTAAGTTCCTTGTTTGACATAGCCATCTCTACATGATCTGACTCCCACTTACTTACTCAGTCACAAAATATTTGTTTTGTGTCCGATATGTGCCAGACACTGTAGAAGGCATTAGGGATACAATAATAAGTCAAAAATGACATATCTCTGTTCTCATGGAATTTATCATCTAATGGAAAAGATAAACATTAATCAAAGAATCTTGAATAAAATATAAAGGCAAAATTATAGTAAGTGCTATTAAAAAGAGGTACATGGAGCTAGAGGGCATATAATGGGAGACTAGTGAAACATAAGGAAGATCAGGAAAATCTTCCCTGAAAAACAGATGATTGAGCTGAGAGCTGATGGAGAGAGATTTACCAGGCAAAGGGACAGGAGGGGAGAAAGCATTTTGGACAGAAGCTCTAGCATGTGCAAAGGCCCTGAGGTGGGAGAAATCATAGCACACCTGAGAAAATGAAAAGCCAATATGACTAAAGCATGGAGAGTGAGGAAGAGCATGCTAGGGGATGAAAAGGAGAGATAGGTAGGGCCCAGACCATACATGAGTCTTGCTATTTTAACTACTCAACTGTACCCTTAGAGCAATGAGAAGCCACTGATATGATTGAAGAAGGGGCATTTTATGGACTGAATTGTGTCCCCCCAAAATTAATATGCTGAAGTTCTAGTTTCCAATGTGATTGTATTTGGAGATGTAGCCTTTAAAGAAGTAATTAAGGTTAAGTGAAGTCATAATGGTAGGATGCTAATTCAATAGGAGTAGTGCCCTTATAACAAAAGAGAGACACCAGAGATCACTTTCTCTATGCAGGTGTATACAGAGAAAAGTCTGTGGGAACAGTGAGAAGGCAACCGTCTGCAAATCAAGGAGAGAGTTCTTTCCAGAAAGCCTGCTGGCACCTTGATCTTGGACTTCTCACCTCAAGGACTGTGAGAAAATTAATTTCTTTTGTTTTAACCACTTGGTCTGTGGTATTCTATTATGATAGCCAGGCAGACTAATACAGGGAGTGACATTCTGTTTGCATTTTCAATCACTTAGGCTATTGTGTAGAAAACTTATTGGAAGGAGGCTGGGATGGATATAAATGAATATGGGGATATCAATTAACAGATTCTTTAAGAAGTCCAGGTAAGAAGTATTGGTAACTCTGATTAGGATAGTGACGAGGACTTGCAGTGAAGTGGATTATTAGTCAGAAATTATTGCATTTGTAAGTGACAAAACTCGAAACAAAACAGTAAATCACTTGAGATAGAGATGTATTTCCCTTTCAGGCAAAAGTCTGGAGGTAGGTCAATGCAGGACTGATACGGTGCACAGTGCAAGGGAACCAGGCTTCTATTTTGCTCCACGATGTGTAGCCCCCATTCTTAAGGTCGCCTCATGGTTCAAGATGCTTGTTGCAGCTCCAGCCATCCTTTCCACATTCTTGCTAGAAGGAAAGAGGACAGAGAGAGAGAATGAGATGATACTTCAGTTTAAGGAAACTCTAAGGAGGCACCACTCATTCCATTGGCCACAACTCAGCCTCATGTCCACCTTTAACTGGAAGGAAGGTTGGAAAATACAGTCTTTGTTCAGGGCAGCCACCTCTGCTGTTGAGTACTATCGCTCCTGTTCAAGGTGGTACAGAACCAAATGCAAATCCTCTCTCTCTTATTATTATTTTTTTTTTAAGGGAGAGAGAGGGAGGGAGGAGGGTAGAAGGGACAGAGGGAGAGGGAGAGAGAGAATCTTAAGCAGGCGCCACACCCCAGCGAGGAGCTGGACAATGATGTGTGGCTCTATCTAACCCAACCCTGAGATCAGGACCAGAGGCTAAATCAAGAGTCTGCTGCTTAACTGACTGGGCCCCCAGGCGCCCCTCCTTGCCTTCTTTGTTAAAGAGAAAGTGGACTACCAATTTCAGTCTTTTCAGCTTCTCCAATATCATACCTATTTAGATGCTTTACTCCAACCCCTTCCAGCACCCACCCCCTTCCCATTCTGAGACTGCAGTCTGAAGGGGAAGCCAGAACCTCAGTACAGTATGGCCTGCTGCACTTAGTCAAGCCCCACCTTATTGCCACGCGCCAGCACACTGGAAGGGAAAGACTTCCCCTCCTTCCCACTCGGCAGATACAGGCCTTCTGTCCTGGCCCCGGTTTCCTCTCCCACAAGGCATAGGCTAAATGCCATTTTTAATTTTGCCACGGTCTGGATTTTGAAATGTTGGTAGAGCTTTAAAATTTTATAAAACCTTTCTCGGTAGTGTCTGGCTTTTTCTAGATTTACTGTGTTTCTGGGGATTCAAAAATCCTATTTTGGTAGCCAAAAGCTGCTTGCTTTCTTCTGCATTCCTAACATCACAGTTCTATTTATCCTTTGAGGCTTATTCATGCTTCTGACTGACCAAGGAGAAGGTCTCATAAAAGAAATGCAAGCAAATATTAACGTGTTTTTAAAAATTATTATCTACATTGCACAATTTTCTTGGCGCTGTTAACCCTTTCATTTTATATGGTCTTTCTATAGCCTACATTATTTCTTGGAAGGGCAAATTTATGTCTATTGTGAAGACACCAGTAGAAACAGAATAAGCATCATAACTCTGAGTTTCAAACTTTGAGACAACTATTGCCCAACAGAACTGAATGAGTGTGCAATTGGGTATAATCCCATAGATGACAGGAATTGTGAAAAATCTTGTATGTAGTACCTTGGCAGAACCTGACTCCTAGTAGCCCACTGAACTTCCAAGTCCCTCTAGTAAAAACCTCTCATGGTCTTAGCTGTTGGGCTTCTGTCATCTATATATACTATGTGACAGGAGGCTACCTGAAGCTCACTCCAACTGAGCTGACACTGATGACTTATGTGGTACATGGTCTGTGGCCCAAAGCTTAGGACATTCATCTAGGACAGTGGTTCTCGACTGGGGTTGCTTTCCCACCTCTGTGCCCTGGCAACATTTGACAATGTCTGGACACATTTTGGTTCCCAATGGGGGAGGAGCTACTGGCCTCTAGTGCAATCCCCCCCCACCCACACACACACCCGAAGCCCTGCATGACATTTGGTATTCTGCTAAACACCCTACAATGCACAGCACAGTGCACCCACAACAAAGAATTATTTAAATCCAAATGTCAG